TGTCACCTGTCCTCCCATGGGTAGTGGGGCGCTGGTGGTACAGCCAGCCCTGTGTGCTGTTCCCAGATTGGATCAGATGGTAAAGGAGAGGAAGGGATCTCTTCTCAGAGACGTGGGTCAGTGTGAATTAACCACACCAGGTTTTAGCACGGTCTGTCTCACCAGGAGCTAGGCTGTTTTGAGGATTCCCAGTTTATATCACTTTCCATGTCCAAGGGACAAGGCTCATTCCAGCTGCAGGTGTGGGTGCAGTGATCCGTTCTGACCTGACTGCTCTGTGGGGCAATGTGTGAAGTTGCACCTGCACTTACATTTGTGAGGCAATGAAGTTTAAACTAAGCAAATTTAAGATCTTGTAAACATACGTATCTACTCAGTGATTAACTTGATCAACTGCATTTTTTCAGTGTTTTCTTCCAAAAACTGTATTTGGATGAATCCAGTGACAGACAGAGGCATATGTTTACCACAGATGTCCATGCTGTGGCATTTAATGTCTGGTCACTACTGCAGTACCATTCCCACCTTACTCCATTTCTCTATGAAAAGATACCCTGGTTTTATTTTTAATAATAGCTGCAGCAACTTTCCTTGTCTTGCTCTTGAGTGAAAAAGTGTTTTCCCAACCAAAGTTTCCAGCAGTGCAGCACAGAACTGAGAACACAGACTCACTGTGAGGATGCTTGGAGACTTTTAATAGCAGCTCTCTTTTATTTTTTATTCTTTTTCTACTATTAGGAGTTTTGTACAGTGATTTAAAGTCTGAAGTCTCCATTTTTATGGAATGCACTTCACAGAATGTTTCTTTAGTGATTTTTATTCTTGCAGACACTGACAGTAGCCATTTCAACCCCTGTCTCTGTGTTTCTCGTGTGGGTGACCTGAAGGGAACATTCCAGGCTGGAGAGGGCAGTGGCTGTGGGGTTGATCTCCAGGCTGGGCCATGCTCACACTGGTGGTGCAGGGCCGGCCTGGCCCCACAGCAGCAGGGTGGGGCTGTTATGGAGCTCAGAACACTGTTCTTCTGCAGTGGAATTCAGTGGCTTTCTCTCACTGCAACACTCTTCCCTTGCCCAGGTCCTCACTGAAGGTTGTCAAGGCAGCGGCCCAGGTCCTGAACACGCTGTGGCAGTACCGAGACCTCCGGAGCATTTACAAAAAGGTAAAGGACAGAATCAGCCTACATGGGAAAATGGTGCCACAAAAACTCCTCGTTTATTTATAACTCACCATTTATTCTGATTTTTTTTCTTTTTGCCACTCCACAGGATGGGTGGAATCAAAGTCACTTTATTACACCAGTATCAACACTGGAGAGAGAGAGATTCAAATCCCACCCTTCTCTATCCACAGGCAATCAGCAGATGTCACCTGTCATGCAGTCAGGTCAGTCAGGGAGGGTGAAGGGGACCTGCTTTCCATGTTTTTAACTCAAAGAGCCTCTCTGGTTGCTACTAATTCCATCTAAAACATGGAGGTCAGGCTGTCTCCCCTTGGTGCTTGAGCCAAGTACTTCAGGTGCTCTGGGTGTTCCTGGGCTGTTCCTGCACAGTGAGATCCTCAGCGTGCACAGCTGGACGTTGGTGCCAACCACTGCCCCCTCCAGAGCTGCTCCCCCTGCGCTGTGTGGGCACCGTGGACGTGGGTACCTGACAGCAGAAACAGCGACAGACCCACAGCGAGGAGCCCGTTCTCATTCCCAACTATGTCATGTCCCATTAGGATGAGCAACCAAATACAAAAATGTTACTTTTCTGACTCCTCCTCGTTTATTTCTCGCCTTTGTTCCTTTAGCGCCTTCAGTGCTATTTACATCTTCCCGAGGGCTGGTACAAAACCTACCTGAAGCCTTCTATTTTGTCTTCCTTTCGCATTTTATTTTGTCCAATTTACTCTTCTCAAGGCTCTCTAGAGCAGATCTCTGTTAATACAGAGAAATACCCACCTACCATGGCTGCTAAAATCAGTGGCTAGTTCCTACAATACTCTTGTTCAACTACTTCTTTACATAAAAGTAACAGCCCTCACACATTCCTTCATGACATGGTTGACTTGAAAAACAAGGGCTCCACGAGGGATTTATTTTCCTCCAAGAAGTAAACTATAGTGTCTTTTATGCCAGAGTTCCTCTCAACCACCAAGGAAGCAAGTACGGCGTAGGCTCAGGGAACTGACTGGATTCTACCCAAGTGTAAAAGGAGATTCCGATCCCGACTGTCACATTCCTATCTGGGCACTTTCTCTCCCCGGATACACCAGCAGAACAACTGTGTTACTCCAGTTCTTTTAATGGCAAGTAGGAAGTAGATGAGCAGCTCTAACATGATATTGAGAGGCTGTTGTACTTCAAAGACAACTTAGTAAAAACTCCTCATAGGAAGTGTTGCTTTCCTGCTTGACAAGGCCAAGGGGAGGCAGTGGAAGTTGTCACCAGGGTGGTTCACCCAGGAACAGCTGTGACTGTTCTGTCCTTTCCCACCTCCCAAGTTGTGAACCCTCATGGCAGGAAGGGGTGAGGAAGGTTGGGTGTGTGAAAGGCGTCTGTTTCTTCTGAGAACCTGTCTTTTCCCACCAGTTGGCAGCACGTCCTCGTCCCCGGCTCTGCTGGGGATCAGGGAGCCCCGGCCGGAGTACGACAGGACACACCCCTCTCTGCAGTATTACAGTAGCCAGGGCGATGTCATGGCACATAAGGACATCTACACTGGTAAGGGACCAGCTGGGAGTGGGAACCGCACTGGGGAAAGGCTCCCTGGGGGAGGAGTTCAGTCACAGGCACTTCAGTAGTGGGCTGGTTGTACCAACTGTTGCTTCCCATTTCCACTGGTTGTATTTGGTGCTGTGGCACAGGGCAGGGTGGCACCTGGCTCTGCTGATCTCTGTAAAACTGCACTGGGACCAGAGTAGATCCCTTTGCATATTGGGAGGTGAGAGGTGGTTGGAATTCTTATTTTTATTTCAAGTACTATTACAGAAAATTGTTTTATTCACATCATATGATGATGTTATAAATTATAACGTGCAGTTGTATATTATAACATTATATTACTAAATTATACCAAAAGATCAGAATCTTTTCTCTGATATCCCTTTTCCTTCTCATTATGTGACACAAGTTGCACACCAGTAGATGATTGTCTCTAAGGAGAAGGAAATGCCTTGTTTTAAACATTATGAATCTGTAAAACAAAAACCAGCAACATAAAAAAGCCTCTTGGCTTCACTGTAACTGCTGCTGAGGGACAACATTTGCCTTTATTCTGTTATTACATTATATCATTAGTAGATGCTAAAATCTGCAGATTTAATTGTTTGGGTGCTACATAATAGGCAAAATAGAAGCCAATAGACTTACAAGGTGGAAGAATAAAGACTGAAGTTTATCCTTAAACTGTTTTCTGCCAGGTTCCAGCAAAGCTTCCCCAATTTACATCAGTTCCTATTCCTCACCAGCGAGAGAACAGAACCGCCGGCTGCAGGTGAGCCCGGAGCTGCCCAGGCTCAGCAGGGCCCAGGCTCAGCAGGGCCCAGGCTCAGCAGGGGGCTGTGGCTCTGGGCACTGCCCTGTCCCAGCCCCGGGGCTGCTGTGCCTGCTCAGTTCTCACGGCAGGGTCTGAGACCTCTGCTCTGATTTGATTTGGGCTTTGGGGGGGTTGGTGGGTATGGTCAGGTTCTGTGCCTCCTACACCTGCGCTCTGAAGTTGTGCTCCCTTCCCAGGGATGTGGGAGGAGACATGCAGGGAAATGTACCACTTCCTTGGGTACATTTCATGGAGGTTTGAGACCTGTGTTACTGTCACTGGTAGAGCTGCACTTGGGAAAGGTTCTTTACAATGTGTGTGAGTTTGAGAAACAAGTATTTTCTCTGTTGATTATACCTTGAAAGCTTATTTTTCTATCATTTTGCCAGCAGCATCAGCAATTATACTACAGCCAAGAAGATACCACCAGGAAAAACTACGATGCCTACCGGTTGTACCTGCAGTCCCCACACAGCTACGAGGACCCCTACTTCGACGACCGAGTTCACTTTCCTGCTGCTTCAGATTACACAACACAGTATGGACTGAAATCAACCACCAATTATGTAGACTTTTATTCCACCAGACGATCTTCTTACCGAGCAGAACAGTACCCGGGCTCCCCTGACTCCTGGGTGTAGCACCAGAGAGAACAACCCAGCGTGGCTCTTGTCTGGCTCGAGAAGGACTGGAACGGCCCCGAGTGGCTTTGGTTATGAAATGAGAAAGTGAAAGACAAGAAGGAACAAGGAAGATTTGTTTTGGGGTTTTTTTGAGAGAGGAATTGTCAGGAGGAAAACTGGCAGGGACGGTTTTGCTCTGTTTAGGTGTTAGGTATCATTACTTGTAGCTCCTGTAGTCTGGTGAGGGTGTGGGCGACGTGATGAAAGGTTTGAGAATTGAGTACAATGAATTTGGAAAGTGTGTAGGTCAGAGCAAATTAAAGCTGATTTTTTTTTATGTGAATAAAAGTCTTGGTCTGATAGTTTGTACAGAAAACCTCCGCCGGCTGCCCCTGTTTCCTTGCTATTACTAAATGTCAGGACTGTATGCTGCTGCGTCGTGTACATTCTGCGTGCGTGTAAATATGGAAGCGCCACCTCGCTCTCAAGTGCCATCCATTTGTAATGCAGTGTGTCATTGGAAAAGGAATCTGAAACATAGTGCACAAAAAGAAATACCAGAGAAAAAAAGCCCAAACTTTAAAAAATGAATAGTGTAATTTCGAAGCACAAAGTCCGGTCCAGTACATCCACACCTCTCCCATTCCCTGCCTATTTCATAAGGAACTTCACTGCCATTTTCTATGCACATGGAATAACAATAAATATGGAAGTCTCATCCATGGAAAGCTGTTCCCTGTTCATTTTTTTCTTATTATTTTCTGTGTGTGATATTCAGAAACAAATACCATGAACATGAATTCTAATTGTATGTTTTTCAGCAGGTTAAATATATCAAAGCATTTAGGCCATTTCCCCAGCTCTCTCCAGTGGAAATGTGTCAGGCTGGCAGCCCAAAGTGCTAAATCCTGCACCTTCCTACTGGGATTCCTGTTTTTATTTTTGATATGGGCAATCCAAGGTACTTCAGAACTGAAGCCTGTTTTCTTTCCATCACTCAACTCCTCCCTTTCTTCTCCCCAAGGAAATGAAGGTCATCTTGCTGTCATAGAAATTACAATCTCCATTTTGACTACATTCTGCTTGGGTTTCTTTCCAATAAAAATGTTTGATTATTTAAGTACCTAAATCACAAGCTCTCCTGGTTCTGAACCATCTGTTACCTCTATACTGTCTGTAACCACCATTATTGCTCCCCATCACTGCACTTCCCTTGGGTTCCCAGTGTTCCAGTATCCTGATGGCACCAGTGACACGAGAGCAGGTAAGCAGAACAGCTCCAGGTTTGGCTGACACGGCAGAGTCACTACTTCTATTGAAATGGGTCCTGCTAAGGACTAAGCATTTGCTCTTCCCCTGTGAACTCTGACACTGCAAATGTTTCAAAATAGTCTCTTTCCCTATAGCAAAAGGACGTAATAATTCAAAGAATGATGATGTTGTGTGCTAAAGGATGTTGCCAATGAGCATGGTCTGACTCTGCACTCTAAATCTCCAGTGACATGGCTCATGCAAACAATGAAGACAACAGCTTCTCGTCTGTTTGAAAAAAAATGCAGAGAGTGAAACTGAAAAAGAAAATTGAGGAACTAATCACATCTCAGCTCTACAGGGGGATGTGAGGACAAGCGTGGGAACATGAATACTTTATGGAGTTTTAAAAGGAGAATGCAACAGTTACACCATCCTATGTACCTGCCCATTCAGTTGTTGAACACCGGCACTCATCCGTCAGACTAAGGGTCTGGTTCTACGTTCAAAGCATTTCTTTCTGCTCAAACCACATGAAGAGTTGATTGAACTCCTACACAATACCTAAAGATAGGGGACTGCCCCCACAGCATGAAGGTGGGCAAGTTACCTTGTCAGCTGAAATGTGAGGTGCTGCTCACAGCCCTTCCAAACACCTTTTCCAGCTCACTGACATCCCTCCAAGGAGTGTCCCGCCATCACGGCTCTTTCAGGGAGCTGCTATACTGGAGTAAGTGCCAACTTATAACCCCCCCAAGAAAAAGGTACATTTCTTGTTCACAAACAGGTCCACTATGAAGTTCTGACTGTCATGTGCCTCTAGTGGCTCATCACTCTGACATAAAAAGTTGCTTTTCTGTGCTTGTGTAGAAAAAATCGACAGATGAGAAGTGATTGGAGCTGGCCAGCTCTGAGGAGTTCAACAGCACACAACACGTACAACTGCAAGATACTAAAAGATATTTTTCTTTCCTTTGCTGCCCACCATTTGACTCTTTTCTGAAGGTGAAGGTTTAAAGCCATGATAAACAGGAACAAAACGCAGGGGATTCTCGTGTTTAACTTTGAGGAAACAAATGCTGCTGTTATGATATGACAGAAATCATGAGATCTGTGCAATGTTTCCATGCAGCTCAGGGTGCTGCAATTTAATTCTTTAGAATTGATTCACTTATTCCATTACCCAGTGATACTTTTTTAAACAAGGACACTTAGGTGGATAGAACACATGATGACAAAGGTATATCTTTTTAGTCCTTCTGTGAAAAAAAATTTGATTCTATAACTAAAATTATCCGGTAAGGTTCTTCTCCTTAATGATATTACCCTTTACCTTTCAGCGCCATCATGCAGTGCCTTGACAATTCTTTGTCTCTTGCACTCTGTGAAACAACTGGCATCCAGATCAGAACCAGGTCTTGAACTTGTCAGGTCTCCTACAAGAAACAGGTAAGTTTTACAGATGTAAATCCTACAGATTTCGTCAGACACATAATATAAGCACTAGTGAACAATTATATCAATACAAACCCACTGACAATATGGCTGCCTTCACTAATTGGTCTTGTCCATGCTTTAGACACTTAACAATAATGTTCTAACAGCATAAATTTTGTGCTGAACTACTATGAGCAGAAAATAAAACCTAGGGAGGTGGAATTAAAGCATGTGTTAATAAAAAACAAGCCATATGCCTGCACCAGAATATAAAAATAAGCCATATACCTGCACCAGAATTTCTGTTGTCTCCATCAGGCTCCTGCAGCATCTAAATCCAGCTCTGTTGATTCAATTGAAAAAGGTATTGCCTGTCTGTCACTGAACTTAAGAAAACAGCATTCAATTACCAGATGTAAAATTCCTATCAGTTTATACCAGTAGCCACAATCTAGTAATTCTGACGTTTGAAAACAAGCAATACCAGAGATAAGATGGATAAGGGCAAATACTGCAGAGTCATGAGCAATAGATTTTTAACGACAGAGAGAGCTGAATTCAAACATGACACACGAGGAAGGTATTCCATATGTCTTTGTGCTGAGTGCTGGTTTAGATGTGGACTATGCCTGGTGTATAATTATGCTAATAGCTGTTAGCCAGATTAGATCAGACAGTCTGCTTGGGAGCATGTTGATTCTTGATCCTGCCAAGTGACTTCTCAAACTTTGCAATCAGGTAATAACCTGCCTGTAGAATGTGGATTCTAAAGGAGGAATTTTCAGGAAAGATGAAGAGTTCCAGAGCACTGAAAGCACCACTCAGGAAAATTTCCTTTGACTTTTGTCTCTTTATTACAGTTAAAATCCTGTATCTGCCCCCAGGCTTCCCTACATCTGCCTAGGTGGAAGAAAACACATTCTGAAAATACGCAGAACCATTATAATATAAATTCCATTCTTAATTCAGCCATTCACAGACTACTACCATTAAAAGAAATCTATCCCCAGCATCAGGCGAACACCTCCGAAGTCTGACATTTATGTGATCAGGAAATGGGACTGAGGGTGGCAGGAACAGCAAAAGATTTCAGCTGCACTATCCCATGGTCACAGAAGGATGGTTCTCTCACTCATTCTTCTCACCCAGACAAACCAGTCTAATAATTTCTAATAAATGAAAGCATTACATAAAATCAGGCTTACAAATCTCACCTGGTGCTGTGGCATTGCTGAGGCAGTGCCAAGGGCTGCCTGTCAAGAACAAGGTGCTCCAACAAGTACTGGGTAGATATCGTTTCCATTCACAACAGCTTCTGGTTTAAAGACAGTAACCAGTGACAGAGGTATTGAAGTCAAGAGAGCAGAAGAAAAATAAAAAAGAAATTGGAAACTGTATTTAATATTGTAAGAAATCCACAACGTGAACTTATGATTTCTCATTTAAACCAAGTTCCCATGCTTTTCCCAGGAATTCCTGGAACAGATGTACAATGGCACTAAACCTTGTCATTACTAATGCTTTAGGCAGCACACCAAAGCTGTGTTACATGACTGCCTTCTGTGGTAAGTAATGAAACTTCACCTCTCCAATCCAAACAGCTCAGGTAAATAAACTGGAAAATCAGTATTTTTCTGCTGAGGCAGAGTGACATGAATATGAAAATCCCTTACTACTGACCAAGTCCTTCAGGATAGGCTTCTTTTGTTATCACTCCTGCAGATCATTTTATCTGAAAGAATTTATTTCCCCAATCAAAATTGCCATCATGCACTTCAGGCTAAATGCTTATGGGCAGAGACATGCAGCACTACTATCTTTAATATTTGCAAAGTAAGTTGCTTTTCTAGGGAGGAAATTGCTGCATTGCAAAGCTATTTCCTGCCTCATACACACAGAATTAAATATCAGATAGATCTGGTTTAGACTGGATGTCCTTTCACTTTTCCTGCTCCAAAAATCCAAGCCAACAGAAGTTACCCATGAAGGTGGTTGACATGCTGTTAATCCCTACCAGTTTCTTACTCACTCTTCTCTTTCACGTTTTTAATTCATAGAAGGGAAATGTTGTACAATCACACATGAATAAGCTGCTTGAGCCACCAGTGCTGGGAAATTTTTACCTGAAACCTACCACAACTAATGATGTGTATTTTCTATATTAAGCAACAAAGAAAAATAATGGAAGTTTCTCAGTTCACAGCAGTTTTGGATGCCATTCTCATTGGTGTAAAATTTTGTCATTGATGATAAAAATATATGTTGCAAATATATGTTTAACACAAATGTCATTTTATGGACATTCTGTATTAATGAAGGGTGAAATTATGGTGCTGCTGAAGACAACAAGCCTTCATTGTGGCCAAAGAGTTAATTTCGTATCACAGCTTTTCAAAGAACAATGAAATTCAGGCTACATTTTCTGAATGACAAAATTGGAGCTTTTGGCTGAAGTGATTAAATACGTCAGAATTAAGACGTTATGACAGGTGGCTTTTTTTTCAACAAATTCTGTGAAACATTTATACAGGTTAAGTAGTATAACTCCTAAGTTTGACGGGTTTGTTAAAGGCTACATTGTTGTAGTTTTGGAGTGTGACAGTAAGTTTTTACAGGCCTGGAAACAAAGGGGGGTTTGACCTTTTTTTTTGCTATGTAACTTCTCACAGCAGAGAGAAATCTCTGTGTCTAACAGTGCCCTGGGCTGGATTTCAGAGTAAAGCCTCTCACTGGTGGGCTGCATGTGTTTTTTGCAGCACTGAGAGTGTTTTGAAACTGTCTCTGATTCTAAGGGGTTCTTTCTCCTACGTTAACAACAAGAGCTTGTGAGTATCACCATACAGTTTTGTGTTATTGCCTACAGATTAAGCTGCTTCTTTAAGCACCCAGGGCAATAATCAGTACTTAAGTCAGTTTTGTACACTGAAATGCAAGGAGACTTGCTTAAATTACTAAAGAATTTTATAATAAATTAATTGGATCTTTCATATGTCCTGTTCAAACTAACGAAGTTCAGCCTTTGTAATCCAAAGGATTTGGAAAACCTACTGACCATGCTTTATAACGTTAATGTGGCTTTGCCCAGCAGCTTTGTTGCTGTCCTTTCTTGGCACTTAAATCCTTCCTGCTCATGCTGTTTCTCTCCTGTATTTATGACATGATAGGTGATCAATATGTAAGCTATTGTATCTTAGCCAAAAATACAATTTCAGTAAGGTATAGGCAGCAGGAGCACCAAGATAAAGATCTTTGAATGTGGATTATATGAGTAATGCATTAGTAATAAAAGATGGTAAAATCATAAAATAATATAGAAATAGTATAGTGAAGTCAAAAGTAATGTAGAAATAGGAAGTATTGTGAGGTATTTTTAATGTTTACAAGTTTTGAGCAGATTCTTAAGAAAAAAGGGAAGGAGAGTAATTTTGATAACTGATGTAGAAAAAACAAGGTCTTTGTTAGTATGTAATGACCAGAAGACTCAAACTGCTTATGATGATATGTTAGGGCCTTAAAACAGATAGAAAAAAAAAAAATTTTATTGCCTTTGTTGTGTAAAACGTCAATCTTTGTTAAAGTCACTGGTTGTTTTTTTTAACGAGGGCATGTGAATGCCGTTTTTTGCTTCTGTCTCAAGTAGGTACTAATGATTGAAGAGGGGAAGATTTACCTCACTGAATCAAGACCTTTGAATCTCCAGCAATAATTTTAAAAGTCACCACCCCTCACTCCCCTCACCGTCCTCACTGCCCTTCACCACCCTCACCGCCCCTCACGGCTGATCACTGCCCCTCAGTCAACGCCCCTCACTGCCCTCAGCCCTCACCGCCACTCCCTCACCGCCCCTCACCACCCTGACGGCCCTCACGGCCGCTCACTGCCCCTCAGCCAACGCCCCTCACCGCCCTTCCCGCCCCTCACCGCCCTCAGCGCCGCTCCCCGCCCCGCCGTCCCCGAGCCGCACACGGCGCTGCCGCCCGGGTCGGTGTGAGGTTCCCGGCGGTTCCCGGCG